CAAGATCAAGATGGTGTTCTTAGGGTAAGAGAAGGGAAAAAAATGGGTTTTTGGGGGATTTTCTGGTCTGGGAACGAGTCCCCCTCCAAAGTCCTCGAATAACAAACAAAATCAAGCTTTTAAAATTATGGTCGCGACCTCCGAGGTCACGGTGAAGAAATCTCGCGGCCGCGACCATCCCCGAGGCCGCAGAATCATCCGGACAGAAGTGGGACTTTTGGGACCCTCGCGGCCGCGGCGACTAAAACTGGGCAGCTGCGCGCTGCTTTACGTTTCGAGCTCGTTTGGGCTCGTCCGAACTCGGAATCGAGTTTCGTTTTTTGCTATGCGTCACCAACGAACCCATCTATCCAGTTATGCTCACAAAACCAAATTTTCCTGAAGAGAAAATTCACCCGAAGCTCCTGACCTACACACCAAAAACGACAAAACACAAAAGAAAACCGGAAAAACAAACGAAAAACACCTAAAGACTCAAGATGAAGGAATACACATAATAAAACACGAAACGGACTAAGAACTAAAGAAACGACCTAAAATGGGGGAAAAAGAAAGATAAAATAAACACGAAAAATGCAACAAAAAGGAGACAAACAACTCCCCCACACTTAAACCTTTGTTCGTCCTGAACAAAAAAAAAAAAATAGACATGAGCATGGATAGGGTTTCAAATAAGAAGAGTTTCAAAATGTCTAAGTCAACCATGTCGAATTCCAGCGACCGTGAAACCATATACCTCAAATATAAACTTGGCCTCGAAATGACAAACTCTCAAATACAGAAATAATAGTACATGCCTCACTCATTCTTTTACATGAATATATGATGGGATCGCTCAGATTGATCAATATTCTTGTTTCAACATATGCTTGCCAATCGTCTACATTACTCGAAAATAATCAAAGTTCAAAACTTGCGAATCAAGAGGACTTCGCGGGTCGTAATGTGGCTTAGGTAAAGGTATGAATATATAAGGATAAGAAGCTCAAAATAGACAATCAAGATTCTCGAGTATACTCAAGCATTCTGCTACTCATCCGGAATCAACAAGACAAAACACTTACTACCCAACCAACATTCCACAAACAACACATAGATGCTCAGAACAAATTGCAACATCGTCACTTAACCTTATTTTTTCTTCTTTTTCTTTTTATTTTTATTTTTATTAGGAGAGTAACTTTTTCCCAACAAAATTGAATCAAAAGGACAACATTCTGTAGGTGTGAACATTGGAGGTCATCCAAGTTTCCTACAGTAGTTTCCCAATGCTCATTACCTATCAAAATGAATCGACTAGTAAGAGGAGCAGAATCCATTCGATTCGTCCTGTGAACTCTCAAGTTTGTTTTTTTGTTCTTTTTTTTTTATATAGGTCAAGCAATAGAAATCCAACTCCAATTCACCTCATTCAACAACGACACCATATTCACCAATCATCACAAAATCAGTCAACAAAATACATTATATACATGGCTGACAAGAAAAGGCTCAAGGCTCAAACGGGCTACTAGGGATAATAACGTTTAGGATCAAAGAACAAAGCTAAAGAGAGCTAATCAAACAAAACGCCTCAATCACTTTCGCAATTTCAAACTCTAATCGATTCCTTTCAAATAAACTCAAGGCAAGTTCTAATCATTCAAGAATATGACCAATATCTCACAAGAAAGAAGAGTAAGGATCAAAACCTCACAAGGCAAATATATGTCACTCAAAGCAATCAAGCATATACCGAGACAATGACCACACGTCCGTCATCATAACTTCCCAATTTCATCAAACATTCATCAACAAGTCGTACTATTCACCAATACCACATGCTCAACAAAACAAAAACCTAAAACTAGACCGGCCCACCATATAAGCATGCAAATATCCGAATAACTCCCCCACACTTAAAATGAGGCAATGCCCTCATTGCTTCGACACAAAACAGGAAGTCAAATAATGGACCTAGCAATTTCATATCATGAACCAAAACTAGCAGCTAACACAAGAACATAAGACTCGAAAGAAAAGACCGGGGAAAGAACCAACTCAAAAAGATAAAAAAGAAAAAGAAGAGGGAAAAAAGGGTGTGCAAACCAAAGTGTATCGAGGAGAGTAAGCATTCACGTGCAAGTCATTCGTCTATGCTCAGCCCAGAACCTCGATATCCCTCCTGCTCAAGCTCGCAAACTCGTACCTGCCAAGAAAAACACAAAACTCCAAAACTCCAATTATTCAAAGATAAAATAAAAGAGCAAAAAGAAAAATATCTAAGAAAGCGATAAATCACTTGGGTTGCCTCCCAAGAAGCGCTTGTTTAACGTCATTAGGTTGACGAAACCTGTACACTTATCAACCAGGATCCAGAAAGAAGTGGCGATCGTGCCATGCCTTCGTATTTTCCAGAAGTGGCAGCATGGGAAGGGAGATAAGAAGGCGGGCATGGTGGATCCGGGTGGCTGTGTTCTGAAGGAAGTGATCTCGGGCACAAGCAATCCGCAATTCTAAACATAGAGCTTTTCCCACCCGAGCTCTGTCGTCAACCTCCGAGATGATAAGCACATCAGTGGAGCAAGTCGAATTGAATCCCACCCACTTCGTAACACAGTGCAACAGCCTCGAAGATAGATGCTCCAACTCAGAAGTGGGAGGAGTGACTTGAGAATCAAGCCCATGGATCTCCTCCTCTGAAATAACATCAACGTCTCGTTGGAGCTCATCATCTTCTTCGGCCTCACACATTCGCTTCATCGTACGGTCTTGAGTATCAAGCATGAGGTGTGGGTTGTCGACTTGTGCCTCAATCGAATCGAGACGTACAATGAGGCTCTCTATTTGTGTGCTCAGCCGAGCACATCCGAGCTCAATATCCTTTTCTTGGTTTGCTCGGGCCATCATCCAATCGAGGATGAGGTCGAGCTTGGCATTGTACTCTGAGGAGTCGTGCTGGAGCTCATTTAGATGCTCGCGTATGGGATGTGGGTCCACAACCTCGAGCTTGTGGGCCTGGGACTCGATCGAGTCGATGCACCTTGCTAGACTTTCCACTTGCTCGCTCAATCGGGCACATCTGAGCTCCATCTCCTCCTTTTGTTTCGCTCGGGCCATCAATCGATCTAAGATGAGATCGAGTTTGGCATTGTAGGTGGCCTCTTCTTCTCGAGCTGATTTGGACTCTATGAAATCAAGAATCTGGTCAAGCTTCTCGTTAAACTCGTGGGACTCATAAGGTTGCTTGACCGGAAAATCGTTCCAGCACCACTCGGACGAATATGGGTAAGGTTGGGTGTGGTACCCGGGGAAATAGACCGGCTCGTCGTTCCAAGATGGGTAATGCCGGGAGGAGTACCCGTGATTGAAATTCATTGTACCTGCACACCAGAACCAAACAACCACGTGTAGCCAAGAAAAAAGAAGAGAAAAGAAGGCAAAAACTAAAACAAGAACAAAAGAAAAAAACACAAATGCACAAAAGAAACAAAAACACTAAAAATACAAAAATAAAGAGGAACACAGAAAATAAGATCAAACACCAAAACTAAATATCCTACTTGCCTTCCCCGGCAACGGCGCCAAATTTGTTGTGTACAAATTGTTATATTACCGAGTACCGAATCGAAGGATTCGTTTCCCGGGTCGATCTCTCGAGGAAGACGGTTCGGAATTTAGAATTGGTATTGATTATGTGCATTCGCCAATACATATAAAAATATATTAAAAATAGTATAATTTTTTATTAAAAAATATAAATAAAAAAAGAATTGGTAATATTTTTCATATAGTTCTTCATGTTCAGTTATTTTATTTATTCAAAAAGACTAAATTCGACATTTAACCAAGTAATTTATTCGATCGATTAGCAGAATTACCGTATTTTTTTTCGTACGCGTGTGTATTGTATTGTTTTAAGTTGTAACATGTCGTGTTATAAAGTGCAATGTAATTCCGTATACAATACAAGTATTGATAGATAAAGTGCAATTATGTAGATCCATTTTTTACTTTTATGTGCGTAATATTTTTGGCGGAAGCTAGTGACATTAATTATGTTGATAAAGTGCAACGTGTCGTCTTATAAAGTGCAACCTGTTGTTTTATAAAGTGCAACGTCACGCTATATAATGTGCATTGATTCATAAATTAATATTTTTTGCGGGAGCTATTTACGTTAATTATGTTGATAAAGTGCAATGTATTTCCGTACAGTGCAATGTATTGATAAATAAAGTGCAATTATGTAGCTAGATCCAATTTTTATATTTTTATGCGTAATATTTTTTGGCGGAAGCTAGTGACATTAATTATGTTGATAAAGTGCAACGTGTCGTCTTATAAAGTGCAACCTGTTGTTTTATAAAGTGGAACATCGTACTGTATAACGTGCATTAATTTATAAATTAGGTGTATTCAAAAATTATTTAATATATATAATTATACATTGAATTAACTTAAATTATTAAAATATTTTTTTATTTATTATTTTTTATTATATATTTTACTCATTACTATAAAATATTTTTATGTTATTTTATATTTTACATTATTGTATTTAATAATTTATTTATGATTTAATATATATACATAACAAAAGGTACAATAATAACTTTTTATTAACTTTCAAATTGAAAGTTTCAATAATTATAAATTTGGCATGTGGGTTAGATTGAAATATATTTACAACTGTTAAAATTGCAAATAGATCCTTACACCTAATCTAATTCTCAATAATGTGCCCAATCCTACAATCCATTTTCATTTTTATATTGCTATCATCACCTCTCAAAATTCATCTCCATCCTCCACCACCCCACCCGCCGTCGACCAGCTATCTCCGGTCGCGACGTCCGGTGTCCATGGCCGGAGCGACGTTTTCGTTCGTGTTGGAGCTTCCCGCCGCTGCGACCTGTGCGGGCATTACCACGTCTGACGACGGGTTTCCGACGGCCGTGAACTATTGCCGAAGTGTGTCGGCGACGACTGCAACGATTGGAGCTTCGTGGTGGAGGCGGATGACAGCAACTGGTCGGAGCTCTTTCGCGTCGGGCAGAACGACTGCGTCTAGTGGAGATGCAGTGGTGCATTCACGAACCTTGGCGGCAGGAGGCGGTCGACGGTGGAGGAGCTCACAAACCAGTTGGCAGTTGCACGCGTCGGTGCGTGCTCACAGTCTGTTGCGGCGAGGATGCCGGCCGGTGACAGCGGCGGATACCGGCGGTCGACGGTGGAGGAGCTTCTTATATGTATGTATATGTGTGTGTATGTGTGTGTGTGTGTAGGTGTGTGCGATTAATGTACAGTGTGTGTGTGTGTGTGTGTGTGTGTGTTAATGTATGGTGTATAGTGTGTGTAATTAATGTGTACATTATGTGTGATTAATGTGTACAGTGTGTGTCTGGTGGATGGGTGGGTGTGCAGAGTGTGTGTGCGTGTGTTAGGTGTGTGTGTGTGCGTGTGTTTTGTATGTGTTAGGTGTGTGGGGTGGGTGATGTGGTATGGGGATGTGTTGGTGATGTGTAATATTAATTATCAAAATACCCTTGAAGGTATAATTTTGACTTTTTTTTAGCCATTAGATCATCCGATCTAATGGCTACGATTTATTCCTATTTCTCGCATTAAGGGTCCTATTTAATTGTGAGAAATGTAAAATTTTAAATCATATAATTTTAAGAAATAGAATAAATAAAAATTACACTCAAGTAACACAAGTGGCATTTGGTAATCATTAAAATGGTATATAGGTTTATAAAAATCGATATCTATATCTGTGTAATATGTTTATGTATATTACCATCATTGACATAGTTTTGGGCACGAAAAGAATGTTGTTTATATTTTGCATATAATTAAGCTTTATTTATTAGCAATTTCTACATATGAAAAAATAGTTATTTTTTTCTTTATACGATGGCTAAAACACATTAAATATAAATTGACTTAAGTAGAATAATTGACTGAGTACAAATATTTTGAACAAGACCATAATACCAATTTCGTAGTAATTTTGTTGAAATAATTTTTTAAAAAAATGTATTCGTTATAATTATAAAAATAATCGATTAATTTAATTATTATTTCATGGTTGTAGATATGAATTATGTTCATCAATAAAAATCACTTAAAATATAGAATAAAATATTTATATTTGAATTATATTAGCTTAATGAATGGTTTAAAATATTGATATATTTTTATAAAATGAATTCAACTTAACTGTGAATAAATTAAAACTCTCTTGAATATATCTTTTGTATTGATAATACTACTTAAAAATTAAATTATATATTAATAAATTAGCTTTTGATGGTCAGGTGAAATTTAGAATTATAAATTTCACGTTAGAATAATTACATACATGAAAAAAACACTATTCAAAGTGTTAAAAAGTAATTTTTTTTTTAATTTGAGCATCCTCCTTCTGTTTTTATTTATTTATTTATTTTATCTGCCACCATTCTTGTCGGAGGTCAGGCGCTTCGAGCTCTCATACTGAGGGGAGAGGGGGGCTGAGGTGGCTCAGGGATTGTGGATTCTTGTCCAAGGGAGGTATCTGCAGTACCTTGGTAGTTGCCCATCGTGGTCGTTTTGGGCACAATAATTTTCTCATGGAGTCGGCCTAGAAAGAGTGGATGCCATCAGCGCAACAACACAAGGTCAAGGATATGCAAACATAGATAATAATAAGTAATGGAACAACAAGAAGGTGAAGCAGATAATCATCTACCTAAATCAGTAATGGGTCGGGACTTTAGTGAGGTCAGGCCACAATGAGCTCATTCTGAAATGCGGGGGCTAGATGATTTAGAAGCCAAAATAGCTCGATAAATAGACCTGAGTGATTAGCTCGGGTATGACTGATTTATAGGAGCTTCACCTCAGTATCGGAGCTCGCTTAGGACTCTAGGAGTAGAGGTCAACCTGGTTAGAAGACTTAGAGGTCTATTGGTTGCGACATGGTAAGAGTCACTGGCAGGTGGGCCTTGAGGTCACTTGGACGATCATTCCGGGATGTGATTTCCAGCAACTCTACCGGCAAGACGGGCAACCAGGGGCTATCGCTTGAGCCATACCGAGATAAGCAACTTGGGACTATCACGCGCTCCGAGGCAGGAAGGTTCACGGTTAGTATCCCTGAGCCCGTTGTTTCTTCCTTAGTCGGACCGTTTGATAATGCACTCATTTTGAAGTTTTCATTCTCTGTCCCCTCCCTCCGAGACTTATCTGTTGGATTAGGCAAGATGGGTTTTAAGGGTAGAGTCACCCCTAAGTTCTTAAATTTCAACCACTACCTTGTGTTCTTTGATTCGAGAGAGGATTATGACGAGGTTTGGATCAAGACTTATGTGAACGTCTGTGGGTGCTCTGGAAGAGTGTTTAAGTACACCCCCAACTTCTCCACATCGACTGAGTCACCAATTGTCCCAGTCTGGTGTTGTCTCTCAGGCCTTATGCCTCATCTCTTTGACCCCACTATACTCTCCTCGATTGCCAGTTGTATTGGCAAGCCGATCCAGGTTGATGCCCCCACGGCCAACCGCTCGAGGTTATCCGTCGCACGAGTGTGTGTCGAGATAGACCTCCGTGGTGAGCTCATCGAGGAGATTGAGCTCAACCAGGGAGGAAGAGTCACTGTCCAAAATGTGGTTTATGAGAGAGTTCCACCTTTCTGTACTCTCTGTGACCATGTGGCTCACGCTGCGTCGGACTGCTACACCAAGGGCAACAAGCCCCGACCGTCACTTCCCCCACGCCGTCGGACGGCTAGACCGGTCCCCTCATCTTCTCAGGGGACCCAAAGGGGAAGGGTAAGGCCTCTGCCCATGCGCCTGAGTCCCTGAAGGGACAAAAGGACAAGGGTAAGGCTGTCATTGAGGCCCCGCACCAGGTCGGGAAGGCTCCCCAGCCTAACCGTCCCAAGAAAGCTGCTCTGGACGAGCCAAAGTCCAGAGCCACGGGGTTGTTCCCTCACCAGTCCCTCCAGAAGGCTCCCGTGGCGGTTCACTCTTTCTTCTCTGCCCTCGCTTCAGAGACGGTGAATGAGCCTGCTTCCACTTCCAGTACCCCAGGGGATACGATCATCTCTCCCTTTGATGATGATGACCTTTTGAATGATGAGATAGATCCGTTTGTCCCCCTAGCGACCATTGCCTTCAGCTCCCGCGCCAGCAACCCTTCATATCTATGGAGGACCCGCAGGATTCGGGGCTTCCTCCCGCCTACACCCCCTTGGCCGGGACTATAGCTTCCCTTGGCCTCTCTTCTGAGAGGAGCATTTGGTTGCGCCCACGACCAGTGCCACCTCTATGCCCACAGTTGGGGACCTCTCGACCCTGCCTGTCGACCCAACCCCCCTCCAGGAGGAGGGGCCCACACCTCCCCCTGACCGACCATGCACGTTGCGAGAGCCCAGTCCACCCTAAGACCAGATCTCTAGAGGACATCCTCTCGGCGAGCCCAGATCACCACCGTCCTCAGACCAGATCTAGGACCACACGATGCTCGGGCAACCGAGCCTTACCCTTCTCAGATAGACAGACTCAGCCTTGCCACGTGCAGATCCAGTTAGGTGGCACCACTGACATTTGATATATCAGTCACATCACTAACCTGGAATGCCCGTGGCCTGGCTAATAGGGCCACTCATGCTCATGTTCGTTCTCTTATTCGTGACCATAGTATAGACTTTGCTGCTTTCCTAGAGCCCATGACCCATAACCCCTCTTTTGACTTATACTCTCGGCTCATTGGTTTCCATTCTGGTGTGGGAAACATGTCTAGCAAGATCTGGTTCTTCCACTCGCGAGACTTTACTTGTCGGATCATCCGTGACACGGATCAGGTCCTGCATGTTGAGCTTTCTGCCGCCCATCTCCCGGAACCAATCTTCCACACCCTGGTATATGTCAGTTGTACGAGGGTTGGTCGCTACGATCTGTGGGACACCATGCGTGAGATTGCTGAAAGCATGGAGGGATCACCGTGGATGATTAGCGGTGATTTCAACATCTTTCTTCACCCCGATGAGCGCATTGGTGGCCAGTCGGATCGCTCTGCGGAGATCTTAGATTTCTCTCAGGCAGTGGCGGATTGTGAGTTAATTGATGCTGGATACGAAGGTTCACCATTCACGTGGGAGAGGGCCGGAGTTAAGGAGAGGCTCGACCGTGCTTTGATCTCTGAGGCATGGACGAAGGTGGTTGCAGTCACGACCGTCACACACCTCCCTCGAATTAAATCTGACCATGCTCCCCTTCTTATCCGGTGTCGATTTTCGAGCACCCCCCGTCGCTCCTCTTTTTGGTTTCAGAACATGTGGACCCGTCACCACACGTTCCATGACACGGTTAGGGCTTTTTGGCATCACCCGACGGGGCTTTTTGGGATGCTCAACTTGGAGGCAAAGCTTGGTAGACTGAGTCGCAGTTTGAAGCAGTGGAATTGGACTGTCTTTGGAGATATTTCGCAGCGCCTTGCTGCAGCTCAGAGTGCGTATGCGGTTGCTGAGCGAGCTTATGATCTGGACTCGTCTCCAGAGAATAGGACCGCGATGCGCCGCTGTCACGCTGAGTACCAGCTCCGTCTCCTCATGGAGGAGGATTTCTGGAAACAGAAGGCTACTGTGCGCTGGGTTGCTGAGGGGGAACGTAATACAAAGTACTTTCAGGGGTTTGTGAGGCGGAAGCGGGTTAAGTCGTACATCCATTGTATTGAGGGTAACGGGTCTTCCCTGACTCAGGAGTCCCAAATACGGGAGTCGGCTGTGACACACTTCCAGTCCCTCTTCACCTCAGATCGCGACTTGTTTACGCCCCCCAATGCTTCCTTGTTTCCCACCATCCCACAGTCGGTCGACCTTGTTGACCTCTGCGACCTCCCGAGTAGGGAGAAGATCAGGGAGGCTGTTTTTGGGATTGATCCCAACAGTGTTTCTGGTCCGGATGGTTTCTCGTCTCTCTTCTTCCAAGCCTGTTGGGAGATTGTGGAGACTGACGTCGAGGAAGCTGTGGTGGATTTCTTCTCAGGTCACCAGATGCCGGAATCCTTCACAGCGACCTCTATTGTTTTGATACCCAAGAAACCAGACCCGAGTTCCTAGTCCGACTATAGACCTATCAGCCTTTGTAATGTAACCAACAAAATCATCTTCAAGATCCTTAATGGTCGATTAGCCCCCCTCCTCCCTTCCCTCGTCTCTCCGAATCAGAGTGGATTCATCAAGGATTGAGTCATTAGTGATAACATTCTTTTGGCCCAAGAGATGATCCATGACATCTCCCATGCGAATCGGTTACGAGCCCCGAACCTTGTGCTGAAGCTAGATATGGCTAAGGCATATGATAGGGTCGAGTGGCCGTTCCTCAGGGAGGTTCTGTTTCGGATGGGCTTCCCTGAGCGTTGGATTAGTTTTGTAGAGGCGTGCGTGGAGCACTGCACGTTCTCGGTCCTTGTTAACGGCAGCCCTACTGACTTCTTTCCTTCCACCCGAGGTCTTCGGCAGGGAGATCCTCTATCCCCCTCTCTTTTTGTCCTGGCAGCGGATTACCTGTTTCGTTGCCTTGACGGCTTCATTCGCGACTTTCCGAGGATGACCTATAGCACACGTGGCTATGGTCCTCCCATCTCGCATCTCTCTTACGCGGATGACATTATTATCTTCACTCGTGCGGATAATAATAGACTGGCGGAGCTCATGTGCCTCTTGGGGCACTATAGCTCAGTGTCCGGTCAGCTTGTCAGTGTGCAAAAGAGCACATTCACCCTAGATCATCATATTGCTGACCATTGGGACCATTGGGTCCACGAGCGCACTGGCTTCGTCGCGGAGACCTCCCCATTACCTACCTTGGTGCGCCTTTGTACAAGGGTCACCTCTCGCATGAGCTCTTTTCTGACGTTAGACAGAGGATGATTGACCGGATCTCTGGTTGGTCCTACAGGCACCTCTCTTTTGGGGGCAGGCTTGCTCTGATCAAGAGCACCCTCCCGCTGCACCTCCTTACGGTCCTTGACCCCCACCAGTCTACTATTCACGAGCTAGATCAGACTCTGGCCCGTTATTTTTGGGGCCATGGGGAGGGCTCTCGGAGAGGGAGACATGTCCACTAGGTGAAGTGGGATTCTGTTTGTCGCCCCTTCTCTGAGGGTGGTCTCGGGATCCGGCGTTTCTCGGATGTCGTCACTACATTTTCTTATAAGATGTGGTGGCGATTTAGGGAGGGCAAGTCACTTTGGGCTCAGTATCTTCACCTGAAGTACTGTCCTGGAGGCGCTGCCTATCCCTGTAAGGTGACGGCTACCGCCCGCGATAGCAGGCAGTGGAGGCGACTCACCATGATTGGTAGACGTGCTCAGGAGCACATTTTTTGGACTCTAGGTGTAGGGGATGTTAGCTTTTGGGATGAGTGGTGGTTCGGTGAGGGACCCCTTTCGAGCACTAGGCAGGTCACCTACCTTCCCTTTCTACAGGTGAGAGACCTATGGACAGAGGGGGGTTGGGATAGGGATAGGTTAGAGAGGATTCTGGGTACAGGAGCGGGCTTTAGTGATCAGGTTATTGATGAGATCCAACAGATTCCTATCTCGGAGGGAGGTCTCGACGGTATGAGGTGGAGACTTACAT